GTTTTGAAATAAATAGGGAGAGAGTGGGAGGCGGATAGAAGAGGGATAGAGGAGAGGATAGGTGGAGAGGAAACAAACAGGTCGAAGAGGCGGGGATGGAGCCAGTAAAGGTGAGTGTAGGTAGGGAGTTAGGAAGGGGATAGGTCAGTCCAGGGAGGACGGACAGGTCAAGGGGGCGGGATGAGGTTGGTCGGTAGGAGATGGAGGTGCGGCTTGAGGTGGGAGGAGGGGATAGGTGGGAGGAAGAACAGGTTAGGGAGGCAGGGACGAGTTGGACTGGTTTTGGGATGCGGTGGGGGAAGGGGAGATTTTGAAACTTGTGAAATCCACATTGATACCATTGGGCTGCAGGGTTCCCAAGCGGAATATGAGTTGCTGTTCCTGCAACCTTCGGGTGGCATCGTTGTGGCACTGCAGGAGGCCCAGGATGGACATGTCGTCTGAGGAATGGGAGGGGGAGTTGAAATGGTTCGCGACTGGGAGGGGCAGTCGTTCATCGCGAACCGAGTGTAGGTGTTCCACAAAGCGGTCTCCGAGCCCCCGCTTGGTTTCCCCAATGTAGAGGAGGCCACATCAGGAACAGCGGATACAATATAACACATTAGCAGATGTGCAGGTGAACATCTGTTTGATATGGAAGGTTTTCTTGGGGCCTGGATGTGTAGGGGCATGTGTAGCACTTCCTGCGGTTGCAGGGAAAAGTGCTGGGGGTGGTGGGGCTGGTGGGGCGTGTGGAGCGGACAAGGGAGTCATGGATAGAGTGGTCCCTCCGGAAGGCAGATAAGGGTGGGGAGGGAAAAATGTCTTTGGTAGCGGGGTCAGATTGCAGGTGGCGGAAGTGCCAGAGGATGATGCGTTAGATCCAGAGGTTCATAGTGTGGTACGTGAGGAAAAGGGGGTTCTATTTTTGTTGTTATTGCGGGGAGGGGGTGTGAGGGATGAGTTGTGGGAAACACGGGAGATCCGGTCGACGGGGTTTTCGACCACTGTTGCGGCCCTTGAAAAACGAAGACATCTGGGATGTCCAGGAGTGGAATGCCTCATCTCGGGAGCAGATACAGCGGAGGCAGAGGAATTGGGAATAGGGGATGGAATTTTTGCAGGACGGTGGGTGAGAGGAGGTGCATTCTACATTGCTGTGGGAGTTGGTAGGCTTGAAATGGATATCGGTTTCCAGGTGGTTTCCAGAGATGGAAACAGAGAGGTCCAGGAAGGAGAGAGAGGTATCAGAGATGGTCCAGGTAAACTTAAGGTTGGGGTGGAAGGTGTTGGTGAAGTGGATGATCTGTTCGAGCTTCTCGTGGGAGTACAAGGCAGCAGCGATACAGGCATCAATATAACAGAGGAAGAGGTGGGGTACAGGGCCAGTGTAGCTTCGGAAGAGGGATTGTTCCACGTATCCTACAAAGAGGCAGGCATAGCTTGGGCCCATGCGGGTACCCATGGCCACCCGCTTTGTCTGTAGGAAGTGGGAGGAATTGAAGGAGAAGTTGTTAAGAGTGAGGACAAGTTCAGCTAAGCGGACAAGGCTGTCAGTGGAGGGGGACTGGTCGGGCCTGTGGGTCAGAAAGAAGCGGAGGTCCTTTAGGCCATCTGCATGGGAAATGCAAGTATATAGGGACTGGACGTCCATGGTGAAGATGAGGTGTTGGGGACCAGGGAATCGGAAGTTTTGGAGGAGGTGGAGGGCGTGGGTGGTGTCACAGACGTAGGTGGGGAGTTCCTGGACCAAGGGGGAGAAAATGGAGTCAAGATAAGTGGAGATAAGTTCAGTGGGGCAGGAGCAGGCGGAGACAATGGGTCAACCAGGGTAGTCAGGTTTGTGGATTTTGGAAAGGTGATAGAAATGGGCAGTGCGGGGTTGGGGAACGATGAGCTTGGAGGCTGTGGGTCACCTGAAGTGATGAGATTGTGGATGGTCTGAGAGATGATGTTTTGGTGGTCGGGGGTGGGGTCATGATCAAGGGGGCGGTAGGAGGAGGTGTCAGAGAGCTGGCCCTGGCCTCGGCGATGTAGAGGTCAGTGCGCCATACTACAACTGAGCCTCCCTTGTCTGCGAGTTTTATGGTGAGGGTGGGATTGGAGCAGAGGGAGCGTAGGGCTGCATGTTCTGTGGGGGAGAGGCTGGAGTGGGTGAGATGGGTGGAGAGGTTGAGGCGATTGATGTCTCGACGGCAGTTGGAGATGAAGAGGTCGAGGGAGGGTAGGAGGCCTTGGCATGGTGTCCAGGAGGAGGAGGTGTGTTGGCGGTGGGAGAAGGGGTCAGTAGAGGGAGGGTTAAAGATAACAGCCATTTCAGCTGGAAATCATAGACAAGCAATTAAAGATGTTAATAGTTTATCTCAATGGCACAGCACATGCACTCAACATCCTATAGTTGAGGCAAGTGCCTTGCATTTGTTCAACACTGAAAAATCTTCCCTGTGTAATTCAGTAAAGTTAACCTGAATTTGATAAATCCAAACTCAGCTGAAATCTGGCACACAAAATTTGACCCAAAATCTGGGCATGACTTCAGTCTTGTGTAATGGGTAGAATGCCTCGGTGCGAGAGCTCTGGATTCGATTCCCATCCCTGAACCTGTGGTAATGTCACTAGCTCTGGACCAAAAGTTCTGGATTCAAGTCCTGCCAGTCGCAGAGGTGTGTCACAGCATGTCAGAACAGGTTGATGAGCAAATTTACAGGAGAGTAATGTTGCAGATTCAGGGGCCATCGCAGTGTGGTGGTAATGTCTCCACCTTTGGGCCCAACAGTCTGGATTCAAATCCCACAGCGGTGTTTCATAATATATCTGAACAAGTTGGTTAAATTTTTCTCGAATTGTGACTTGATCGACAAGGAAGCAGTATCAGTGTTGAATTTCAGAGTTCAGGCCCGGGATAACAGAAAGCACAGCCATTCGTGTTGATTGGAGTAAAATGTGCACCTTATATGTGCTTATAAAATCATGAAGGGCATGGATAGGGTGAATAGTCAGGGTCTTTTCCCCAGAGTGTGAGGAGTCAAAAATTAGAAGGGACAGGTTTAAGGTGCGAGGGGATAGATTTTAAAAACATATGAATGAACTGCCAGATGAAGTGCTGGAGGCTTGTGAAAACACCATTTTAAAGGTATCTGGATGGGTATATAAATTGGAAGGGGTCAGAGGAATATAGGCCAAACGCTGGCAAATGGGACTAGATTAATTTCGGATACCTGGTCAGCATGGACATGTTGGAACAAAGGATTTATTCCCATACTGTACATCTTTATGATTCATTCATCCAATTGATCAAGATCTCTTTGTGATCTTGGATAACGTTCCCTGTCTATGGTTCAAATAATCTCAGTGTCATCCGTGAACTTGCTACCCTGGCCTTCTGTAACTTTCATCTCAATCATTTATTTAAATGACAAACAAAAGTAAATCCAGCACTGATCCCTGTGGATCACTGCTAATCACAGGCTTTCAGTCTGATGAACAATCCTCTCTGACCACCCTGTCTCCTGCCATAAAGCAGAAATACACAGACACACACACACACACACACACACACACACACACACAGCCATGTCATTAAGACAGAGATAGATATGTTTTGATTAATAAGAAGATCAAGGGTTATGGTGAGAAGGCAAGAGAATTGTTTTGAGAAACATGTCAAGCATAATCGAACAGCAGAGCAGACTTGATGGGCCAAATGGCTAACTCTGCTCCAACTTCTCATGCTGTCTGGTCTGAAGGTATCAGGAATATTTTCCCAATAGAGCAGTGATGGCTGAGATTGATAAATACTTAACTGAACAGAGTCAATGGGAATGTGGAGTAGGTTTGAGGGAATGAATGGCCTACATCTGCTCCTATCTGTTGCGCTCTTTAAAGAGGAGGTAACTTGCTGTGAGGTTAACCCACTTCAAGGAGTCTCCAAATTAAGATTGAGATAAGAATATTTCTTTCTCTTTAATATTGTGCTGTCCATAATGTTCTCATCCCTAGGGTACAGTGAAGACTGGGTAAGTGAAGATATTCAAGGCAGAGCTCAACTGACCGTTAATGGACAAGAGAGACCATTATTGGGAATAAACAGAAAAAGTGTGTCCAGCCACAAACAGATCAGCCATGATCTTTCTAAATTGAGCAGCAGGCATGAGGGTCTGAATGACCAACTGCAGTTCCTATCCTGTGTGTTGTTCTCTCACTCCACCCCTCGAAGCTGTTACAGAGGGAAAGGAAGTCCCCATTCAAACAG